CCGAGCGGCGAGGAGGAGCGGCCAGGCCATAGGTAACCGCTGCGTCGGCCCGCGCTGGGGCGGAAGCGGTTCACATACACACGGGGTTGTGTGCATAGACAAGCGCTCCGGGCTCCGCGCTGCCTTTTTGCGGTACCTCCGGAGCTCGTAGGGTCTTTGCTAGGGGCAGCTGAGTATGTCCATGGGTTCGTAAAACATTTGGGAGCTGTTGGCCTGTTATGTAACCCTGGTCTTTGCAGGTTAAAAAGGTACGGCCGTGCCTGTCAGCCGTGTCAACGTTCTCGCAGACTGAAGGGCTGTGCTGCCCAGGTGTGCAGCTGTATTGACGCTCTGTTCCGTGTGTATACATGGCACCGTTCTTGTTCCTGTGGCTTAATTTCATTCCCTTTGAATGATGTGCAAACTCAGTATGTCTTCTTCCCCTTGGGACCTCCTCTACCTGACAGGAGAATACATAATCCTTATTCCTAACTTGGAAATAGAAGGAGGAAGAGCAGCGAGAGGCTTGAGCACCACCTTTGCAGTGGAAACTTCATGGATCTGTGCAGTGATTGATGGTGGATGTTCGAGCAAGGCAGGACTGAACTAAAAGTGCCAGTGGGGTGGGGAAAGAACAGCCGGGCTTCATAGAATCACAGAATGGTTTGGGTAGGAAGGGACCTTAAAGACCATCCAGTTCCAACCCCCCTGCCATGGGCAGGGACACCTCCCACTAGACCAGGTTGCTCCAAGCCTCATCCAGCCTGGCCTTGAAGACATCCAGGGATGGGGCATCCACAGCTTCTCTGGGCAACCTGTCCCAGTGCCTCACCACCTTCTCCGGGAAGAATTTCTTCCTGATGAAATGGGAGTGCAGGGTTCCAGTCTCAAACTCCTGTGGAGAGCAGTGCACACCTCCCAGCTGGACTGAAGGAGTATGGGTCATGCTGAACTTTTCTTACAAGCATTTATTGAAAAAGGTGCTAAAAGTCCAGGGAAAGTTTTCAAATGTAGCCAGAAATAGAAGCTTCGGAGGGAAGAGGACATGAGCCTGTTGTGGTCCCTCCTGTTTCAGGTTTTCAGTTACCTCTCCTTTCACTCCTTTGCAGTAAGCAATTCTGTTCACGTACCTTCCCATAGCGCTCGGTTCAAACTACTGCAGGTTTGTGCGGCTTGAGACGCCACTTGAAACTGCGCTCAGCTTTTGGGGCTGTTGCTGCAGCCTTTCCTTGCAGGCGTACGATGCAGCTGAAGTCGGGGCCGGAGTGGCACAACCTCATTAAGCTCTGCGGGCGCAGGGCAGACCTCGCTCGTGCAGACGCCGCGTCTGAGTAACGCGGCTGCTGCGTGGTGAGAGGTGTCTACCCAGCGTTCGTCTGTCGCTTCCGGGTGTCGCTGCCGAGATCTCAAAGGTGCGACAACAAAAAGCAGTCGTGACGCAGCCGCTACCCTCCTGCCTGTGCGCATGCTCTCTCCAAGAGCCTTTTTGTTGTTGTTGTCCTCTGAAAACCACACAGAAATTAGCCAGAGGCAGGTCTGTGACGTGGGAAATACAGTATTTGCGGGAGAGAGGAGCTGAAAACAAGGCCCTGTGAATTGGTTTTTGGCATTTTCGTACTTTCATTATGGATCAGTGTTGTTGGATGGCATGACTTCAGTGAATACATGGTAAATGATAATCACAGTGTTTGCTGTTAATCAGACTTCAGTGTTAATGCCAAATGTATCTCATTTGGTTTAGATACTTATTTAAATACAAATGTGCACTTGAGAATGTGGTACTTGGGGAGGTCTGTTATTCAAGTGTACTGAGGAGGGCCGTAGCTGCGGGCACGCTAGCATTTCAGAAAGCTGTCCCATGAAATTCAAGGTCTGTGTGGCTCAAAATACGTCATCGGTGTGCCAGGGAGGGTGTGATCAGCGACTGGGATGCATGCTGGGAAGGATTGGCTTCCAGTCCATGCTCCGGTACAACCAAAGAGCTTCAGACACAGTACTGCAGAAGGGGAGAAATCTTTCTTCTGACAGTTCTTTGTCTTGAGCTTGTTTTTTCCTCTGCTTAAACTTCATTTTCTGATATTTCTTACTTGTATACAATAAGTTTTAAATGTATTACTGTGATTATTTTTTTGAGAAGTTGACATCTTGAACTTTATAATTACTGATACAAGAAAACACATAGTAAATTTAATTTTTCTTAATTTGCTCCTTCTACTAGTACTTTCCCTCAGGTTGGTCTGTCAGCATTTTTCTAGTACAAGGTACCATCATGCAAATCATGCCCAGCAGAAGAATGTATTGAGGAAGTATCCCTGCCCAAAATGTCAAGTCTGGACAAAGTTGCGTTGGTTTCCTGAATTTGAATGCATAACACTTTTATCCTTATCTTTAATAAACCTTCAGAGGGTTGTTTTCTGACAAAACGTGTTGTTATGCATTCCTCAGTTGCATCCCTTTTTATGTGTGCGTACTTACAAACTGCCTCTGCCGGACGTCTGCCGTGAGGCTGTCGCCTAACAGCCCCCGAGGGCAGCAGGAGGTGTTGGACGACGCTGAGCTCGGGAGTGCTTGGCCTGTGCTGTTTATGTCCGTGCGTTGGCTCTGTGCCACATCCCTGTGGCAGCACAGTACGAAGAGGGTTGGGGGCTGATTCTGCATGGTGAAAAATAACCCTTTTCCGGGCTAGTTTCAGTGTGAATCAGTTGCCCAGGACATGTCACAGCTTGACCAGTGGATGGTCATGTTAGTGAGTACGTGGGTAACGGAGTAGGACGAAACTCCGTAGCAGTGACGCTGTCTCCAAATGCTTTGTGTCACAGAGATTGGTTTTAAAGTTCACTGGAGCCTGAAATCATAGAATCACAGTATAGTTTGGGTTGGAAGCCCATCCAGTTCCAACCCCCCTGCCATGGGCGGGGACACCTTCCACTAGACCAGGTTGCTCCAAGCCTCATCCAGCCTGGCCTTGAACACTTCCAGGGGTGGGATGTTTTGCAATAGAGTATTGCTGTTCCTTGTGAACACGTAATACTTTTATACTGATAAAACACAGAGTTCTTATGCTTGAAAGGTTTATTTGAAGAGCATTAGCATAATGCTCTTGTGTGGATGCCTCTTCTGCAGCTTGAGTTCAGCAAACAGAGTTACTCACTGTAGGGAAGTATGGAGGTAGGTATTTCCGGAGCCCATACGTCCATGTAGAATACTAATGGGAAATCTAGTTTCACTGTTCTGTTGTTAAGAAAAAAATCTGTGTAAGACAGAAGAAATCTTATAAATTAGATCTATTGGCATGTTCTCGATTTCCATTGACTCTGAGCCCAATATAATGTCTTACTTACAAGGTAGTACATGTATAGGATATTATAAAAGATATTTCTGGCCTGGGGCTAGGATTGCTGCATTATTCATGAGAAACAAAGTTCTGAGTTATGCAAGGTAACCTATTAAAAGGCTAATAGAGCCTTGTATAATATCATCAGGTATTGTGTACAAGGCGTATTTCTTAAGTATGTTTCCCGTCAAAGTTTTTTAGGGTGGAAAACTTCACCTATTGGAGTGAATGGATTCTTAATGCTGAGTTTCCTTGATAACATGAATCCAATTCTGTAGGTTTTTGAACAATAAAAAAAATACTATTAGTTATCCTTTCTCCTGCTAAAGGCCACTTGATACCTAGAGTCTCTGTGACCAAGGGCAGGACGCTAATGTTAAATCTCTCATTTCCCTTGCTTTCCGTATGCGAGATGGACGCTGACGTTTTGATGCTTGTGGTGTTAGTTTCTGCTTAGTTCATAAAAGGTAATCCTTGCATCTCTTTTGTGGTTTGGAACAGAGCGGGAAAAAACCCACAAACCCAAGTGAGAATTTCAGAAGTAGAAGGTAAGGGGGGTGGCCAGAGGTACACTGCAAATGCCATTTACCCATCCCAGAGATTACTAAGCGAGCAGAAAAATGATGTCATGTTGGTCACAATATACCATGAAAGAAATGTCATTTCTCAGGGCAGTAGCACTGCTCAGCCTTTCAGTCACATACATTACAGATAATACTAATTCATGTTTCTCATTTTTAATGCAGGAAGGCTGAAGACTCGGAAATAGCAAGGGGAGAAAGAGAGTCACCGTTGAAAGATAATCTTTCACCGTGGGAAGAATGGTTCATTGGCAAAGAGAAGGAACTACGTGCCCGCTTACAAGCTAGAGCTGCAGAGGTGAGTACGACTGATGAGCCTGATGTTAAGTCTACTAGAAGACAGCAAGCATCAAAATACAGGAATGTTTTTTTTCTTCTGGTTGTGGGAACACAAGTAGTTTTGTCCATCATTTTTTAGTCTCTTGGGCCTCCACAGTGTTTGTGTGCAACAATGCTTGCGTGATTCACGCTACGTGCATTCTCTTGCTAAACGTTTTGCTTCACTGAAGTGGTGCTGTGTAAGATTTTGCTTCTCCAACTGTCAGGCAGTGGTTTGGGTTTAAAGGATTAAAACGTTTATGTAATTGGTACCTTGATTTTCATCATGGGTACATATACCTGCTTGTAGGTAGTAAAACACGACAGGGCGTATGCTGGGTGTAAGCATGCCAAGCTCCTTGGCTAGATATGAGGCACAGTGTTGTTACCCACTTAGTGTTTAATTATGAAACTGTTTGGTGTCCTTTCCCATAATAGGTTTCCCTGACCCAGCGGTTTTTTTTTTCGCCTTCTTCCATCTTTTGCCCCCTTGCAAACGAACAGTTCTCGAATACTGGGGCTGGGGGAGGGCTAAGTGAGAGCGCTATATCTCTTCCTGATTAATATGTTTGTAGTTGCTGTTGATTAAATGATACTGTTGTTTAAAATCAAGTTGGAAGTATTGGGTAGTGGTTAGAACAATCACATCAAAGTTAGATCATTTTTCACTCAAGTTACTGATTTACTGTTTGACCTTGAGGAATGTCCTAACCTTTCTGTGATTCACTTCATCTCAAAGTGAATATAACATACAGCTGGTTTATGTGGGTTACCTCATGCTGTTTGTAAAACATCCACTGCTGGAAGGTTCTGGGACAGTCTTTTAGAGGTCAGCATAACACCAAAATAGTTTGTTAAACTCGAGGAATGTGTTCTGACACGTTTAATATTCACCACACGTTTCATGACATCCCCTTTAGATTCCAGTTTGGTAATTGTCTCTCCCTATTTTGATTTTTAAGTACAAAAAATGGTCCAAAGTAATTTCTGGTGTCATGTATAAAATGTGGGTTGTGTATGGACTTCTCATGTGGTCTCGAGGAGGAGCCAGAGGAGTTAATTCTTGTGTATCACACAGTAGCATTTATACACTACTAAATTTAATCTAGGCAATGTTGCCTTTAAATATATATTAAGAGCAGTCATAGGACAAGCATTACTTAAAGCCGTGTAGGAATCTGTGGAATAGGTAAATGTTTTATTTGTGATTTGTAAGATTTTGAAGGCATCAGATGCTAAGCTGCAATGTAGGCAGCTCAGCGTCTATCAGTGGAAAAAACACGATCAACCTTTCTGTAAGATGCCAGAAGAGAACAAAGTATGTGATTGTGATATAAAAGTGTATTACCACATTTGCATATAAAAAGTATTCTAAACTGATATCCTAAGAAACAACTGTGAAGTCCCAGATCTTTTGCTGACGGCAGCACTGAACGTCAGAACGTTGGGAGTGGGTAGCGGATGAGGACTTCTAAGGTACTCACAGTGCCATCACCTCCTTGAGTCCTGAGATGTCTGTGTTGGAGGGATCCTGCTTTCTGCAAAAGGTGATGGCACTGTGCTTTGCCTCGGTACGGCAGCTGTATTCCCAAACTGTGTCTGTATCGTGCTTCCTTTGAGCTCTTCGTAGGCTTCTGCTTTTCCTTCGTGTCTGACTAAATTGAAACTCACTGTCGTAAGAAGGGGTTCTCTCTGAAACCGTTTGCAGTGTAGGAACCATAAAATCAGTTTAACAGAGGTAACTCCAACTCTCTTTGAATGTAAGATTTTTCATTGAAAAATAGCACTCTGCTAATGCCACTGTTAGAGAAGCACGAATTTCCACCTTATGTCTTTTTCTATCAGTTCATTTCCTTGGGGAGATATAAATGATTGCATATGTACTCTATGTCCTATAAAGATAAAATACTTTGGAATTTCTTTTCTCATCTTCCAAATGAAGCTCCTGTTTCAAGGTTTGATAAAAATCTTCAAAATTTTGTCTTCAATAAGCTTTGGGTTAAGCCCTGAGGTTCTTACTGGTACTAAAAATCACAGGTGAATAATGTTTCACTTCACTTTTGCTGCCTTCTGCATGCAGAGCCGAACACTGGGTGAATTTTCAGTGTTGTAGAGAAGTACTGCTGCACATTAAGATTCCACTGACTGAAAGGGCACTAGAATAAGATGAGGAGGGATTTCTTATGTTGACTTGTTTCCAAAGACTAATTAAAATATGTATTTCCAGTTCATATTCTAAAAATGATACATTTCCATTGATGGTATTTCATAGTATTTCTGTGTTGACTGTCATCTGTCTTTTCCAAAATCTTAATGAAGGAAAAATTTCAAAATCTAAAGCTTACATTGTTTTAACTGCAGCGTGATTTCCAGTATTGTGTTGGTGTAGGTGGTCACCAGGGATTTAAGTTGTCCACTTTTTCTTTAATTAGGAAATTAATATGCAGCTTGAGAAGATGAAGCAAGAGCAAGAATGTGAAAGGAGGAAAAGGATAGCTGAAGAGAAGCATAAGGAATGGGTGCAAAAAAAGAGAGAAGAGGTAAATACTGCTTTGGCTGCAAATATCGTAGGACATACCATGCTTAAGTTAACCTGTGTAAATTTACTTAGAGTGTTTGGACAACTGTGGTTTTAGTTTGCTGAAAGAATGGCTGTTTTGACTGAAAGTTGAAAAACCACGCCAACACAATTAAACATTTCTCCAAGACTGATTTCCTTTTTTGGTTTTTCCCATAAGGCATAAAGAGATGTGTTTGCTGAGCGCTCAGATAACTGCCAATTGGCCTACCTCTTGTGCAGTTGCCCTCTGCTAGTTATAGCTGGGGTTCTGGGCTTCAGCAGACCCTACTTTTTCTGACTTCCTAGGTTCAGTGCCCAAGCATTTTGTACATCTTAGCTGTCTGCAGTGTCTTGTACACCAAGCAGAGCCAAAAGCAGGATTTAGTTAAGTACCATTGTGGACAGGCAAATAGTATGGTAGAGTTTAGAGGGATAATTGAGGTGTGAGGCCCGATTCAGGAAATTCTCAGTAGACCACAGTTAGCAATTGGGAAATCCTTTATCCAAAAAGCAGTTTCTGAGTGGGATCAAAAAAATGTTTTAAGTTCTCTTGAGAGGGATGCCGAAGTCCAGGGTCAGAAGCAGAGACAGAATCCTGACATCAGTGGGACACTGTGCAGCTCTGTGTGACACAAAGCGAGCATGTGTATTGGGTGGCAAAAATGGGTATGTCTGGGAGGCTTGGCCTTGTTCAGCCCCTGGTAGTTTGTGGGCGTATGCATTCATTGTATTATGGTCTGTAGCAATACCAGTTGCTTATTGTCTGAATAAAATCAGATGAAAATTGATGAAAAATATCCCAGTAGCACTAGCTGGGCTAGATGGCCAGACCTCAGACGTTTGTCTTCACCATTTCAGAAGCCCTGCTTCAGATTCGGTCTAGAACCAATAGAATAACCTGTGTTTGCATCTAACCTTTTTACTCTTCATCTCCGTGCCGACTGGATGATTGGCATAAACCTACCCCAAAACCAATCCCGCTCCAAGCATTTATTGTGATGTAGAAGGGATCCTTCCTTATTAAAACACACAGCAAAGCGTAAAAGATTTATTATTCAGCACAAACAATGCTATTTTCCTCTTCTAAAATGCAAATTAAATTATAGGTGTCTGTAACTATTTATTGGCTTGAAGGAGTTTGGGTTGGCTGTTAAAATTGTTCACTGTTCAAAACAGTGAAAGTTCTCATTCTCTACCCCTCTCCCCCTACTCCTTTGCCGTCATCTTCTCTGAACTATTTGGGTCCTCCTTGGAGGATCTTTGTGGATTTACTGATTAACAACTTCTGTTGTCAGTGGGAACAGGAGGTCTTTTTATGGTAATCCCATCAGCCCAGAGGACAGAGGAAAAAGCATATTTGTGTCTGGACTTTATCGTATTATATTTTGGAAGGATAAGGTCATCCTTAGGCCATGTCCCAAGCTTTTACCAAAAGTAATCTGATTTTCGTTTAAATCAGATGATTCATTGGCTAGTCTTTTCTGTAAACCACACTCAAATCAAGAACAAACTGAACTTAAAAGCTTAGCTGTCTTCAGGATACTAACACTTGTGTTGCATAGACCTTTTCACTTCACTCCACGTGTCCTCCTGTGGATCTGGACACCGACTGAGGGATAAATATGTTAGTCCAGTGACTCAGGTGGTGTATAAAATGGCGTGAAGGTTTCACATGAAGTTTAAGGTTAGGTTCATGAGCTGTGATTTTCTTGGGGAGCATGCATTTGGGCAAGCTCACTTTGTTTCCTCCTAGAAGCATCAAAACCTGCTCCTTGAGGCAAAACTCATAGTGTTCTTCACTGAAATACGCCTTAAGCACTCACCTTTTGCATGTCCAGATGCTGATTCTGAGCCCCTGCGTGTAGACAGCAGGAAATGCTTTGCTTGACAGGAGGCAGTACAGTCGGCGGTGTTACCTCGGTGATCACCAGCCTGTATCCATTGCTGAATACTGCGCTGATGAAGGAAATAAGGAATGATTGAGCATACATAAACCTTTTTTCCTTCATCTTGAGCACGCAGCACCAGGAGACACTGCTGAAAAAAATCTTCCTAACTCGAACTGAGAGATGCATGTCAGCAGTAGAGTGGTTGTATGTCCATGAAAGAATTCTGCAGGTTTTGTGTATGCCAAGCCAGTTTTCTTGCATTCTGTTGCGTAACAATGTCAGTTGTGATGCTCTGACTGTTAAGTATAGTCCTTTAGCAAAGCTTGAGCACTATTTTTGTTCACTGGCAGTTTTATTTTTTTATGGTTTAATATATATTTAAAACTATATGCTGTGAAGTTTTTCTGTGCTTCCATTCATTTTGCATAAACCATTTTTGAAAATAAAGGAAATCATAACCATTTAGTATTATTGAATGTAAATAGCTTTTGTGGTTTTATAGGCTGTAAATGGACTAGAAGTTACATATTGAAATATGAGCTATCAAAGAACTTTCTAAGCTGTGCAACATGTTTATGCAAATCTAGCAAAATTTTGCATCTCACTAGGAATTAAAAGCTTAATAAAATGACCTGTCAGGCACTGGCCTGGTTCTGCTATTGCCATTACAATTTTCAGGACGATACTAGATCTCTGCTGGACAAAATTAGTCTGTCTTTCTTTCCTAAGCTAGAGCCATTTGTGGGCAAACAGTAAATTGTCTGTTGGACTTGCTTTGTTTTAGATGTAATAGAGCTCTGTTCTTTAACAAGTCACAGGAATATCAGTCAAAGTATTTTAATTCTAAAATATCTCCAAACCTGCTTCTGATTTCAGAAGAAAATTTGCTTGAACCCAACATGATTTTGTGTGCAACTGAACCTTTTATTTCCGAGTTACTGTTAGATTTATTGATGAATATGAGGTGGGCATAAATGCCAAGCAAGCAAAGTTGGTGTTCAGTGTCGTGTTTTCATTATTAAAGTAGCCTTGATCTGAGTGGTGTGCAGAACTGGACAGGGATCTCTAAAGCCAGTGGAGTCAGTCTGAATCTTTCTGGAATGTCAAAATGTTTGCTTATGGCTAATGTCTGTGTTTAGACACCAGTTTGGTAAGGAGTTCTCTGTAGGCGACTACCAGGATTGGAATTAATGCTTGGGAAAACTTTTTTGCTCCGTGTCTGTTCATTCGGGCACTTTGTGGGGTTTGTTCTGTTTGACCCTTTTTCTTTTTTGTTTTTAAAGCTACTCTAACCACAGGTGGGTAAATCTGTTAACTTTACGTAGAGGAGTAAAGTTGAACGGTGAAATTAACCTATATATGCATCATTTATTTTGGATTGAAGTGGTGTAGTTCTGTTCAGAATTTGAAATTTATAATGCCAAGAATAAATTTTATTATACAAATTACAAAGATGTATTTTTGGGAAGTAATGTAGAACTTGAGCTAGTTTTAAGCTGGGATGTGGTAAGTATTATTTAGTTGTATTGGCTCTTAATTCAAATTTGTATTGATTCTATCAACTTTTTCTTACTTATGATGCTGTTTTTAAAGTCAGCCACTGCTTTTATACTCCCATATGTGTATATATAAAGATCCCATAGAGACGTCACTAGCCTATGTTTTGACATTAAGAACTAAGCTGGTTTTTCCACTCTTAGTTTCTATTTTGTCAGTAAATTCTTGAAAAACTATCAATATTCTTGTAAGAGTTCTTGACTACCTCATGGAAAAAGGCAATTTTCCTTTAGGGAAAAATTACCTCATTTCACTTACTCTCCACATTCTTCCAAGTTCTTGGAAAATGTGATTCTTCTGTTCCAAATCAAGAGCTACCTAAGGGCCGCAGTAGTCAGAACTGAAGTCATGCTTTTAAAATACGAAGGCTTAGATTAAGCCTTTGAAAATTCACCAGAACATTAGGCTGTAAAATATTCAGTATGGGACTTATTTTGAAAATCCATTTGGTGTAGCTCCTCCTGACATTGTCTACAGTGATTTTGTAGCTGAACCTTTTTTTAATGTTTCTTGGATATCTTTGGTGTAACCATAGTTTAATACACTGGGGTGCTAAGTAAGCACCACACCTGAACAGTCTGTGGAAGCATTCCGAACCCATACACAGCACTCATGTCTTAATGACAGAGAAAAGATAAAGTATTTAAAGGGCCAAGGAAGGACCCATTTTTAGAGTAATTAAGTTTTCTATTGGAAATAAAACCAAGAGGTAAAGAATTACTAGAATTTATAATTTAAAAAAGAAAGTATATCTTTGAAGTAATTTCATTATTATATACTGACTCCCTATAGATACTAAACAGATCATAGAATCACGGAATGGTTTGGGTTGGAAGGGACCTTAAAGACCATCCAGTTCCAACCCCCTGCCATGGGCAGGGACACCTTCCACTAGACCAGGTTTCTCCAAGCCTCATCCAGCCTGGCCTTGAAGATGGCCAGTTAACTTCAGTCATTGTTCACCACCACTGAGCAAGTTTAAAAAAACAAACAACCTCACCTCACACGCACCCCAACGTCCCCCTCTGCTCCAAGCTGTATCTTGGAATTATTTGGATCAGGGGACCTACAGGTGTGATACATTCTGAAAATCTCCTCTCCACAGTGGCGTCTTCGTGACCTGTTTCTTGTCAAATGTGTTCTTGCCTTAACAGGTAAAAGTTTGGTGGCTGTTGGGCTTAGCTGGCTGTAGGTGACACCTAGGCTGTGTACAGGCTTGGGTAAATGACAGTTTTAGGAGGAAGACAGAACATACTGCTTAACATCTTCAAAATATTTGGGAATCCTGTTTCTGGTTCCTTCCAAGGATTTTCCTCTCTCATCTAAACTCTGATGGATTAATATGTGATGAAAAAACTCTGGCTGGGTATAAAATATGCCAATAAAAAAGGTGTTGGGTGAGGTCATAGATGTTCAGAGCTGATGTTCAGTCGTACGTCTTCTGTAGCGTTTCCTTTGAAAACCACCAGTGTTCAAAATTTGTCCAGTATGATTCAATTCCAGGTTCCTTCACAATGTTCCCAGGCACTGGTTC